ATCACTTAAGATTATATGTCTCGGGAGGCGGGAACCGGACCTATGAGTAATCGTACGTCAGGGTTACACGAAGCTACACACTGCGTAAGTGATTAAAAATTGGGTCATTACTTGAGTAAGGTCAGGCACGAACGAATAATGATAGACACCGTATAGACGATAAAAAAAAAATATGAAAGAAGTATATCTGTCAATAGTAGACTATGATGTAAATGACAAATATCTCCTTACATAAATAGGTCTCCCTTGGTAGAATTGATCGTGATTATAAATCTCTAATTAATGTATGGTAAACGAAGAATTAATTTGTAGTTTTAGAATAAAAGAATTTTACCCACAATTAATTTAATTAATTTCATTGAATAAAATAGTTAGAATTGGTTACACCGAATAATAATTGACTGGTTGATGGTCTGGTTGGTTAGAATATAATTTGGTTTAAAGAAAACTTTATTTAATTGAAAACGAAAATATCACTCGTTGAGCTCTTTTACTGAATGTAATAGTAAAATAATAAAAAAAATTATGAAAATGATTGGCCCTGACGGCCATCCCTGCAACTTCCCATTAATTCTATACCTAGGCGCTTAAAATTGCACTTATACCGTTTTTGAGCTCTTCGAGCTCAAAAGTCTGATAGAAGTTTGAGAAAACACTATTTTTTGAATCTTCAAACCACATGTTTTTCTAAATTGTATTAGTTTGTAACAGGGTAAATTACCCTTAATCGATAAGTCGCCAGAGATCGATAACTTTTCGACTAGCATTGATCGCATCGATCTTCGGGCCTAGAGAAAGAGAGTAGGAGGGGGTATTTTGGGGAGTCGTTAAATAGGTGAGCCATGCGTTGTGTCGGCAGAAGTAGTGAAGTGCTGAAACGAGTAAGATCCGAAAGTCCAAGAAGGAAGCCCGGGAGTTCTTCAAGCCAATTTACACTAGGTATTGGACTTTGAGAATGATGAGCCTTGGGGCCAATTACCTGGCTCATCAATAATACTACTTCTCATTCATTAATTTGATTTTGATAATTCAATTGTTTAACAATAGCTTGCTTAATAATAATTAATTATTTTAATCAATTTAATTTGTTAGCTTTGGGAACATTTCCTCCTGGGGATTTTACACCCGAGGAATGTTCTAGACCTCTTGGGCTTAGGTCGTGAGTAACTAAATTATTAATTCGGCCGGTTATTAATTATTAACATCCTAGATTGGTTTAAACAAATTTATTTTTATTAATAAAATTTAATTAAGTTCTGAACATCGAGAACTATTCCAATCAGCAACTCACGACTGGTCAAGCGTCGGTACCCGAGGTCAAGCTTGCTACGCAGTAACGAACAACGGTGTCCATTTTGAGCGCGCAAACTCCTTGTGAATTTTATGACGCAGTAAATTTATAATAATTAATAACTGGACTATTATTATAAATTATAGCAATTGAATTACCATTTTATTAATTATTTTGTATTGATTTATATTTGATTATTTGTGGAAAATTATGTATTATATTTGGGAAACTTTTAATTACCGGAAATTTACTTATTGAGAAACTGCGACGCATTTAGAAATTGAACGCCCCTGGATAATTTTCTGTATTTATTTTCACACCGAGATAAATTATTAATTATCTAGTCGACATTCTTACCAATAAATAATTATTCCACGTGATATTAATTATTGAGAATTAATTTACTAAATTTTGGCGCAGATAAGACTGATATACCCGTAGATAAGCTCTAGGCAAGTAATTTTTATATTGAGGAAGTTATTAATTAATTTTCTAATTTAATTGCCAATTTCTACTTGGGTTGCCTTATGTATTGAACTCATGTCCTGTAAAATTTGTCAATAATTTAATATCATCATCCCGGGAAAATTCTTTGTAAAACTATTTATCAGTGTAGATTATGTCCGAGAAAATTTAGTTAACTTTATAAGGAATGTTATTAGAATTTATTTAATGTGTTGAGAGTATAAGCTCGTGTTAAATTTGGGAGAAAAAGAAGCGTCGGTTTTAAGCCGGAATTTTTAAGGAAGTAAATTATCATTTGTGAGAATAATTTATGGGTTTTATTGCGAGCTAATGACTGAATAATTTTTGTAAAAATTAACGTTGTAAATTTTGGAGATCCATTTTGTAAATCCGGAAATAAAAAGTAGAATAGAGTCAGTGTGTGGGTGAGGATAGTGTGGGTTATGTGTGTGTGAATGCTACCAGCGTTCCTTTGCATACGATTAGTCTCTTTGCGAGGTGTTTCGCTGGCGTAGAAGCCGTTGTATAGACGCCAAGTGGGGTACAGCGGTAGTAAGGTAGGAACTGCAGTATAGTCGCTCCATAAGAGGGTACTGTGGGATTAAGCATTTTTTGGTAAGCTCACGGGAGGAAATCGGTCTACGTTTAGTCACTGGGTCGACTACTTTCGTGAGCCGAGTTAACGAGCCTTTGCATACGATTAGTCTCTTTGCGGGGTGGCAAGGCGGTTGAGTCGTGGAGTTGAGGTTGAGTTATTTATTTATTTATTTATTTATTAATAATATATGCCAAGGCACAGGCCGAATGGCAAGGTATTTAATACATTATAGTTTGTGATGACTGTATTATAAAATATAAATAGTATAAAATATAAATAGTACAGAGTATAAATAGTAATAGTATAGTAACAATAATGCAGAGATTAAATGTAAATTATTAAGTTATAACATCATAGAATGATATAGATTTACGATTTGAGATTAGTTTAGAATTAATTTAAGATTTAAGTAGTACAATTATAAATACAATTTTTAATTTTACAATTTTTATAGTATTTTAGAATTCAGAAGAGATAAGATAATCATACATTTTCTTTTTAAATATTTCCAAGGTAGTTGCAGCTACTATATCAGCTGGTAACTTTTGCCATAGACGTATTGCCGAAATTAAAAATGAGTGCTCAAGATGTGAAGTAGAAAAACTAGGAATTAAGTAATTTACATTGTTATTTTTACTCGCTAATCTTTCAGAGCGCCTAGCATCGTCTTCTATAAATCAGTTAGTGGTAGTTGAGTTGAGGAGAGTAGTCATAAGTCGTAGTGTTAAGTTAGTTGTAAGTGAGTTGGGAGTACGTGCAAGTGCACGAGTTGTTATTTTATTTTGTTAATAAATTTTGGTACCGTTGTTGAATAAAAATTTATTCATTTTCAGAACACCTTCCTCCACTCTCTCTCCCTGTAGATTATAAGCTCAGCTCTGATTTCCGGTTCCAGGAACCGCATTGAAAAATCCTGGTGGTGCCCTGGTAAATCTTAGAATCATTTTGTTTATAAAAATTGCTATTATTTAAATTTAATCAGGGGCCAAATGAGCGGGAAATAAACCCACCCGTTACAAGTTATATTAGTCAATTTAGTCAGATAAAACAAATTGTTAAATTTTACACGGAATGACTTGTCTTCTCACGAATTATTAGTCAAGCGTCGTTTGATATTTTATGTCGTAGATAATCCAGGACCCAAGGTCATAACTAACAAACTAGCGAATATTTGGAGTCCATTTTAAGAACGCAAACTTTTGTCGATTTTTATGTTCAATATTTTACTAGGGAATTATTGAATTAATTATTATTATAATTATTGTATTGCGAATTTACATTGATGTTCCGATCGATTTAATCGTGTAAATTTTTTGTGTAATTAATTTGATTTGAGATATTTTAGTACATGATTATTAATTGAGATAGAAATAATTCTACGCAGTTAAATTATGGCATCAAACTTAAGTTCAGGAAATTTTATTACATAAATTAATTCGTTATTTTCATTGAGAATTTTTAGTTAGATAATTATCAGCGTGGATATTAAGTCTAAGAATTTATAGTAAATTTTATGTCGAAGAAGTTATTAAGAATTTATTTTTGCAATTAATTTAATACCAAGGTTGAATATTAGTTCTGAATTTTTAGAGCATTAAGTTATTAGTTGGAAAGTATCATGTAAATTAATTGCTAGCTGATGACTGAAAATTTTTAGTTGAGAATTAAAGTTATATTAAAATTGTTGAAATAAGTTATTATAATTGTTATAAATAAAGTAAAGTCAATTAGTAGTCTCATTGTGCGTGTGTATACGGGTTATGCGTGTAAGTTGCAGAGGTATCTTGGCCTACGTTGCATTCACTAGGCTGTTACTTCTGTCAGCTGGGTGTTGAGAACGACCCCTTGTACATTGCATTCTTTGTGCGGGGTTGATCAGTATACGTTTAGTCAAGTTTGGTATTCTGTTAAGATGTTCTGGTTAGCCGTTAGGGGCTGTTCATAAATTACGTAAGCGCTCATTAGGGGGGGGGGGGGTGAAGCTGAATCTCTATGCATGCTTACTTAGGGGGGAGGGCGCTAGTAGACAAATCTTACGTAAGCAAAGTTTTTAAATTATTTCAGTAGTCGGTAACTTAAATTACTTTTCTATCGACAGTTTGAATTTGAGCTTTGCCACGCTGAAACTTAGCGTGAATTTGGAGCGAATTTAATTACTTATTAGTGAGTAAATTAATTGCGACGTTCAATTGGTAATTTCTTTTGAAGAGAATTTAATTTTTTATTAATAATTCAATTAAATGCGACGTTGGATTATTTACTTAATTATTTAATTGTGGACTTCCGTTTCCGGTGTGGTAGAGTATAGACGCATGTCAAATCTTGTGCTATCGTTTCGGTAATTTTTGGTAGAAATACTTAAGGCAATTATTGTGTTCTGGGTTAAGTTGAGGGAGTTAAACTTGGGGATTATTTTGACGCATAAAATTATTTTGGCGAATTGGTGCAAGGATCAAGGTAAGCCAAGTTTCACTACGTGCTGGCAGGTTGGAGGTTAGGATCAGAGTCGGGGAGGAGGGTAGAGGGGCAAGATTAGGCAAGAGGGAATAGAATTAGGTGTAGCCCTGTGGGAAAGGTAGGAATAGAGCGCCAGTGCGGGCGCTGTAGTTGGAGCGGTAGGTAAAGTGGGTATTGAGTTGAGAGACTATGCTGGATGATAACAAACTGGAAAAAGCGGGAAGTTTGAATCCGTTCCAAAGGCGGGTAGAGCTAAACAGATCATCAAGCGCTAGTGATTTGACTGAGGTGGTTCTTTTGGGTAAAAAGAAAGAAAGAGAAGGGAAGATTGGCTTGAGACTTGAGAGGGACCGGGCAGCTAGGAAGATATTTAAAAAGAGTAAACTAATTACGAAGTTACCGAATAAAAAAGTAGGGCTCACGGAGTAAGAGATGAAAGAGATACTAAAAAAGCTAGGTGGGATTGAAACTAAGATCTCGGAGAAATGTGGGAAAGTGAGTAAGAGAGTGGACGAGCTAAAGGAGGAAGGTAGAAAGGAAAGAGCAGAACTCAGAAAAATGTGGGAGGAAGATAAGAAAAGAATGAATGAGAGAATGGATGGTATGGAGAGTAGATTAGAGAAACTAGAGATGGCTGTAAGTAGGCGAGGAAATGGGGAAGGAGATACAATGGAGTTAACGGAGGGGCGAATGGATGAAGATGCGGAGAGAAAGTTGAGAAAAATGGAGTTGGAAATTGAAAAAAGGGAAAGAGAGGTTAGGAGAAAGAATGTCATATTGAAGGGGATAGACATGAAGCCAGGGGTAGACTGGCAGTCGGAGGTAGAGAAAGTGTGGGAGAGAATGGAAATAGTAGGAGGTAGAAAAAATATGAGAAAAATTGGCAATTTGGACAAGGAAGGTAGGGGATTGTTGCTTATTGAACTCGAGGGGAATGACAAGAAGAAGGAGGTGATGATGGTCAAGAGTAAGCTAAAAGGAGAAAAAAAATGAAAGTAGATGATGACCTGACCTATGAAGAAAGGAGAGTGAGAAAGTTAGTCTTGGAAGAAGCAGCAAAAGAGAGGGCGCTGGGTAAGAATGTAAAGGTAGAAGGTGGGATATATGAAGCTCTGGGTTAATGGAGTGATGAGAAGATAGGATGAGGCAGATGGGAGGTGGAGGCTCCAGGAGGGAAACGAGTAAGGGTGGAGATTGGTAATAATAACAAGGGGGGTAAAAAAGCGGAGAAAATTATGGGGGGAGGGGTAAGCGTTGTAAGTAAAGCAGTTAATGGGGGGAAAAGTTCTTATCGAATAGCCTATTGGAACGTGGCAGGTGTAAAAAACAAGGAGGAGGACTTCTGGGCTGGATGAAGGGAGTGGGACATAGTGGTGTTAATTGAAACATGGGTGAATAAGCAGAGATGGTCCAATGTCAAAGACTCATGGAAAAAGGGATTTAGATGGGACATCCAGGAGCAAGTGATTCCGAAAGGAAGAGGGAGACCGAAGGGTGGGATTTTAGTAGGAGTGAAGGAAGGAATTGAATTAGGGAATAAAGGAAAATGGGATGTGGAAGGGTGGGTGGAAAGAGAAGTGAGACTTGGAGAAGAATGGTGGTGGATAATCGGAATTTATGTTAACGGAGATTTGGAAAGAAAAAAGGATCTTATAAGTAGGTGGATGGATGAAACGCGAGATAGTAAGGTTATAATGGGTGGAGACTTCAATGCACGGGCGGCCGCGGAAGGGGGGATTAGGATAGTTGAGGATGACCTGGTAAGGAGTCTGAGGAGGTCAAAGGATCAAGTCATTAACAAGGAAGGTATGGACCTCTGTAAGTTTCTCGAGGAGAGAGGCTGGGCGATTCTAAATGGCTGTATGAAGGGAGACGAGGAAGGAGATTGGACTTTTATTGGGGAGAGAGGCAGCTCAGTGATTGACCTGGTCATCATGGAGGAAAGGGGCTGGGATAGAGTGTCCGAGGTGATAGTGGAGGATAGGACCGAATCGGACCATTTACCTGTTATAGTCAAGGTTGAGGTGCAAGGAAAGAGGACAAGGGTTGGCACAGGGAAGCTCAACAAGGGGCTGGGGAGAGGAATATGGGACAAAGATGGTATAGAGAGGTTCCAGAAAGCATTTGGTAAAGGAGACAGTGGAAGAGAATCATTAGAATAAGACTGGAAAGCCTTGAGAGAGAGAATTAAAGAGGCCATAAAGGAAACGGTAAAAGTTAAAAGAAAGACAAGTGGTATGGCTAACTGGTGGGACGAGGAGTGCAGGGAAAAGAAGAGAAAACTAAGGAGAGTCTTGCAAAGATGCTAAAAAGGAAAAATAAGGACTGATGAGTACGTTAGGGTTGAAAAATGCTACAAGAAGATGTGTAAGGAGAAGAAGAAGGCAGCACTCAAGGAATGGAAAGAGCGGGTTAAAAATGCGCAATCAGAAGGACAGATTTGGAAGGTGGTAAATGAGGGTAGAAAAAGAAGAGGGGCAATAAACGCAGATATAGAAATGGAGAAGTGGGATGAACATTTTAGGGAGTCACTGGGGGGAAAAGAAGACATGGTAAGGAGGGAAGGTTCTGTGAAAGAGGAAATCACAGAGGAGAGGGATGAGATGGAAGAAGGAGATATCACGTTAGAGGAAGTAAAAGATATGGTCAAAAAGATGAAAGATCACAAAGCGATGAGAGAAGATGGGATTCCAAACGAGGCGTGGAAATATGGGTGGGAGAAAGTTATATTATAACTGTGGAAAATTTGTCAGAGGGTCTGGGTTGGTGAAGGGTGGCCGGAAGAATGGAAAGACGGGGTAGTTGTTCCAATCGCTAAGAAAGATGGGAAGAGGGTAGATGATTATAGGGGGCTCACGATCACGCAGACTGCGTACAAGGTGTATGTAGGAATTCTGGCGAGGAGGCTTAAGAGGGAGGTCGGAGGGAAAGGAATCTTACCGGAAACACAAGCAGGTTTTAGGGAAAGAAGGGGGACGATAGACCACATTTATGTTCTGAATTACCTCATTAATAGAGAGATAGCAAAGAAAAAAGGGAAGCTAGTTATTCTGTTTGTGGATTATAAAGCGGCCTTCGACACTGTAACGGGTACTTTTTGACCAATTTTTACCCCCGGCTCGATTTTAAGCTCGCCGGAGTCCAGGATTCTAACGAGGGTAATTTCTAAATTAATCAAACACGATCATTTAATTAATATTAATAAAAACAGAACCTTTTTATTTCAATAAACGAAACATTAAACATTTTACAAAAGAAAAACGGCGATTAAACTAAGTATACCCATACATACACGGCGTTTACAATTTCCATTACCGTCGTCGGTAATATCATTCGCCCGTCGTACCTCTCAAAAACGCGTCGCTAATTCCCCTTCCGTCGGCCTTCTGGTGCCCATCTCCTGACGGGCGACTAGTGCCGCCCCACAGGCCCTACTTCGCGATACCCAAAGGAAGAGTGAATAAAATCCACCTCTCCCTCCCCTACTCGGCTGTGGTTGCCACCTTTTGGCTGAAGGTCTCCAGGTAGAGAGTCGCCTTTACTCGTAGGTAGATAAGTTCACTTACCTGTGGTAGTCCGCACCAGGTAGAGAGAACTCTCTTTAATTTCCTTGGCCAGAAGTCTCCAGACAAGAAAATTAAACTCAGAGAAAGGTTGCTCAACGGCGGATAATTTTTGGGCTTTATCAACCCAAAAATTATTAATAAAAGCGAAAAGTATTGGCGAATTATCGCCACCTATCGTTCGCCGTCGAACTACGGGAAATCCCCGAAAATTTATAAGTTTTTAATTAAATTTTAAAAATTAAATAAATTTTCATTTAAACAATTCAACAGATTACATTAATTTCAATCGAATTACATTTCCATACAATTTCTCGTCGAAACTTAGAAAAATAATTTCATATAAAAATAAATATTTTACCAAAATTATTTCCCATACTAATTCAATTCGTGGGACTTAGAAAAATAATTAATTGGATACTTCGAATTTATTCGAAATATTTTAATCAATTAATTATTTCAGATAAAGTAAATTTTTGTTCTTTGAAAGAACAAAAATTATCGTGACGCGGTTTCGCTTATATTAGCTCGGCGATTTTTATCGCGAGCGAACCGTCGACGCCATCTATCGCGCGATGGCGAACTACTAAATTCCTTTATACTTTTTAGCCGTCGTTTAAAATAATTTTCAACTAATAAATATAAACAAAAATAATATATAGATTATTATTATTTATAATAATAATTGTCGTAAACAAATAATAAAGTAAACGAAACTCGTCAAAGTAATTAATTGAATAAATTATTCTAAACGACGTTTCAACAGATAATTTAATAATTGATACTTTCAATTAACGATTAATAAACATAATAATAATAATAATAATCGTAATTAACTATAAACAAAATAAATAAACTTCTGAACAAACGTAAACCTAAATACATAAATGCCGTGGCACGGCAGTCGACTTGGTCGCGGTAGCGGTGGCTCGCTCGGTCCGTCGATGAGTCCCGTCTCTCGTCGCTCACGACACCCCTCCGCCACCCCGCTTATAATACCTTCTTCACAACACTGTAGATAGGGATGAGCTGGTGAAAGGGATGATTAAGATGAGAGTAAGTTTAGGATTGGTTAGGAGATGTAAACAGGTGCTGAGAAAAACGTGTGCCAGGGTGAGGATAGGAGGGGAGTTTGGAAAAAAATTTTGGACGGACAAGGGGGTAAGACAAGGGTGTCCTCTCAGTCCTTTACTGTTTGTTTTATTTCTAGTGGAGCTGGAGGAGGAACTGGAGAAGGGTAGATGGGGAGGGGTGGACTTATTAGGAGGTAAGAAGGTGTACTCTTTGGCATACGCAGACGATGTTGCACTGCTAGCAAAAGAGGAAGAGGATATGAGAGGAATGATAAGAACGCTGGAGAGATACGTAGACAGTAAAAAGTTGGTAGTAAATGTAGGAAAGTCGAAGATAATGAGGTGTAGGAAAGGTGGAGGTAGGAAGAGAAAAATAGCTTGGAGATTGAAGGAAAAAGAGTTGAAGGAGGTGGGTAGATACACGTACCTGGGTTACGTGTTAAGAGCGAATGGAGATCAAGGAGAGCATGTGAGAGAAAGAATGGGAAAAGGGGCAAGAATCTTAGGGCAAGTGTGGGGTTTAGGAAAAAGGAAGTTTGGTAAGGATCGGGCTAAGAGATTGTGGCTGTTTGACAAGTTAGTGTGGTCTGTAATGAGCTATGGGGTAGAGATCTGGGGTTGGAAATGTCGGGAAGAGATTGAAAGAATACAGGAAAGATATTTGAGATGGGTGCTTGGAGTTTCAAGGAGAGTGGCTGGTTATTTGGTAAGGGAAGAGCTGCAAAGGGACAGGTTGGAGATGATAAAAAGAATAAGAGCAAGGAGAGGCTTGGTAGGCTGGGAATTAGAGAGGGAAGATTATTTTAAAGAAAGAGGATGGAATCTTCTAGAGGTGGAAAGGAGCTGGGAGGAAGGGTGCATGAGAGGAGAGGAGTTTGTAAGAATGGAAAAAAGAAGGCAAGAGAAGGAAAGGTGAGATAGGATAAGAGAAGCTAGAAGTAATAGGGATTTCAAATTTATAAAGGGACCAGGAATACCCGGATATCTTAAAAAAGGATGGAGTGAAGAAAGATGGAGTAGGGTGGCGAGATTTAGGTTAGGAGATGCACTGAAGAGGGGCAGGTACTGAGAGAATAAGGAGGATAGGCTATGCAGCGTTTGTCATTTAGAAGAGGAGACGTGGGAGCATGTCTGCGAGGTGTGTTCTGGGCTTGGGGTGGACAGAGGGTGGCAGGAGATGAGATCAGAAGTACTGGGTGATGAAGGACAAGGAGAAGCTTGGCTTACAGAGATTGAGATGCTATGGGGGGATAAGGAGAGTGTGTAATGTGGTCGCGAGTAATAAAGTACAACGGAAGCGGAGGTCCCTTGAGTGCGTGTGCAATGGAGGTATGGAGATCTGGGTGGAGTATGATGGCGGGTTTTCTTTGCTACGATAGCTTTCACGGAAAAAACGAGATATAATTGGTTTCCATGTTGTACAGATCCTAGTTCCATCTATAGTGAAAAAAATTTACAAATGACTACTACTTCAATGTAGATTGT